GTCGCTCAGCAGAGCGGGAGGGCTTGCTGTAAGAGTGCTGCGGGCACTTGTGTAGGTTGTAGGTGTATAAAATGTATCAGTCTTAAGTTCTTTACAGTTCAAAACCGGTGGGGTTTGTTTGTTTTTAATAAGGAGTGTTTGAACATTTGGTGTGTGCTTCCCAAAGCACGGCTTTTAGAATCACAGAATCAACAGGTTGGAAAAGACCTTTAAGCTCATCAAGCCCAACTGCTCCCCAGCAGTGCCAAGACCACCGCTAACCCCTGGCACTGAGGCCTCCTCTACACGGTGTATGAACACTTCCAGGGACGGTGATTCCAGCACTGCCCTGGGCAGCCTCTTCCAATGCCTGAGCACCCTCTCCGGGAAGAAATTTTTCCTATTACCCAGTCTGAATCTCCCCTGGTGCAGCCTGAGGCTGTTTCTTCTTGTCCCATCCCTAGTTCCTTGGGAGCAGAGACCAACCCCCTTCTGCTCCATCCTCCTGTCAGGCAGTTGTAGAGAGCGATAAGGTCCCCCCGGAGCCTTCTCCAGACTAAACGCCCCCCCATGTTCCTCAGCTGTTCCTCAACACAGTTGTGCTCCAGACCCTTCAACAGCTCCGTTGCCCTTCTCTGGACCCGCTCCAGCAACTCAGTATCTCTCTTGTAGTGAGGGCTGCGCTTACTTCTTCAGTAAATAGGAGTTAAAACAAGCACCATAGAGGGTATTCGTGCTTTTAAGATTTTTGCTTCTCCTCTGTTCCTGTAGTAAGGAAGGAAACAAACATTACTCCTTCATGAATTTCTTCATAAGAATGTTTGATTTCAGCCATAATGTGACTCAATTTTGTTATTTTTTAGAACATTCCTGAAGAAAGCTTGTATGTGAAGTGTAATGGGCGACTGGCTAGTGGTGAAGATGTGTTGCAAAATGGAGCCGTTTATAGTCTGGAACCAAGGCTTTGTGGTGGCAAAGGAGGTTTGTTGCTTAACTGTTTGTTATGGATTAGTTTCTGAGGTTGGAAAACTTCTTATACTCTAGTCTATGCTGATAGCAGCAGTCCTGATATGTTAGATCTCTTGTAATGTGGATGAATGTGATAATGTCTCTGAGCTGAAACCAAAGTCTGCATGCAAAGCTGAGAATTGAGTAGTGAAGCTGCAGTTCAGCTGCCAGCTCTGCTGGCATAGCTCTTCTTCGCATCCCTGGTCGGCTTAGCTCTGTTAGTAGAAATCTGTAAAGTGCATCTAAGTGACTTCAGAGTTGAAAGTGTGTTTAAAAGTACCTGGCTTCTTAGGCTCCTATGTTTCATTCGTGGACGTTGTGCATATGGTAGAAGTTTATAATACAGGGTGCTTCTTCCGCACCTATTGTCCATCAGCTTTGGTTATCCTGACATAGGATGTGCATTCTGTGCTTCACTCAGTGTTAGTAATGTGCCACTGGGGTCAGTTTGAAATTGTTCTTTAACAATTTTGTTTGCTTTCTAAAGGGTTCCTTTTGTTTTGACTTTATAACTTAAAAGCCTGATAAAATCAGGCAGACAAAACGGGTCAGAACTATTGGGACTTGTATGATCTCAGAGTACAGATTATGCAGGCTTAGAAGAGAACTGAGTATTTTATCAGACCTAATTCAGCACCAGTTACCTTAGTGAATGCACTGCTGTTGATTTTTGGGAACACACCTGGCTAGGTGTAGCAGCTAGGTCCACATTCTTCAGAATGTAAAACTGAGTAGTATATTTCATGAGCTATGAGCATTCTCCTCACTAATGGCAGCCATTGGTTTTATTAACTCAACACAATGCTTTTTCTGCCTCATGATACAGCAGGCTGTTTGGGTTGGTGACTGTGATATTCCTTAAAGGTACTTGTGGGGCACTAAAAACTATAGATTTGTTCATCTTCTAGTTAAAAACCAGTGCTTGGCACTTTGAAATTGCAGGTTGGATTATATTAGTATTGATCCACAGTGTGTTTCTTTGAGGTAGTTAAACAAGTGTCTTTCTCCAGCTGGAGACAACATAAGGTGGAACCAAGTGAGAGAAATCCGCTGTCTTGCCTATGAGTAATTAGTGGCTGAGGAGTGCATATGAATCTGTTTTGGGAGACTTTCCAGCGTAACATCGTACATCATGATCATCTTGATGAAGTGGTTAAGGCTATCTTCTAAAAAAGTTATTTTATTTTTTGTTAGATTTTTAAAAGGAAGTTTAAGTTTTGTGGAGTCTTCACTTAAGGGCGAAGTATATCCTGGCAAAGTGTTATCTGGAGACGAAAAAGGTTTCAAAACATTTTGCTGGGGGAGTCCAGAAATAGGCTTTCATGTTAGAAGTGCTGTACAGGTTCTAGCAAGTCTGGGGTCCATCTGGTGTGATACCAGGAGTACAAAACCAAGATGAGTGGTAAATGGTGGGTACCTTGGTTTTCCACTCAGTCGTTCAGCGTTTCACCCAGTGACAGTTCTCTGACATGTTGCAACTTTCAACCTACCCTTTATTTCAGTTTCATTGAGGGAGAGGAAGGTGTCACTTCACCGTGTTCTTTATCCATAATGAATTCTTTTGTTGTGTAATAGCTTGCCTCCACTTCTTTCTGCTTAGCTAATTCTTGATATCTCTTTCCTTAGGGTTTGGGTCTATGCTGCGAGCACTTGGTGCTCAGATTGAGAAGACAACAAATAGAGAGGCTTGCCGAGATCTCAGTGGAAGGAGGCTTCGAGATGTCAACCATGAGAAAGCGTAAGGCATTTTCTTAGAGGCTAGAACTACAAAATAAACTGACCTTGTAGCTCACTGTTAGGAAATGACAAATGTCAAATGACAGCCTGTTCTAGCAATGTCATTTTATTTTGAATAATACAAAAGAGCAAAAGTGAGATCTTAAACACAGATGGACTGGAAGCCAGCAGGATTCTTCTCACTATAATTATATTAGTGCAGAAGAGGAGGGATTGCACTGCAGCCTGCTTCTCAGTGGTCTGCACCTCTGACATTCTTATTTGGAATTCTCACAGTTCTCTCTGAAGCTGCAGACTGTGGTATTGGGGATATGTGACCTTACTGCTGTTTCTGGCTTCCAAAATAAACTTTACTCTCTTCCCTGTAGCAGAATCTCTATATATTCCTTCAGTAATTCTCCTGGGTGCTGTTAGTTGTCTTTTCCCATTGTTTCCCATCCTAGCAGGTGGTAGAAGCATTCAGTAATTGCCATGCAACAAACTGATATTACATTAAATGCTGGAAACACTCATTTTCATGGTTCTGTCACCTGCAGGATGGCTGAATGGGTGAAGCAGCAGGCAGAAAGGGAAGCAGAGAAGGAGCAGAGGCGCTTGGAAAGGCTGCAGCGGAAACTTGCGGAGCCAAAGCACTTTTTCACCAACCCAGACTATCAGCAGCAGTGTCATGAAATGGCTGAGAGACTGGAAGACTCAGTCCTTAAAGGTATTGCAGTTTAACCTCACTTCCTCTCCTCAAAAAATAAAGCAAATTAGAAGTCCCTATAGCCTCATTCCAGTATGAAAATGGGGAAAACCCCCTAATTCTGACAATAACTTTCAGTTGAATGAAACTTTAAATTCCAGTAAAATTTGTTGGACTTGATTTTTAACTCTTTGTCTGCTGGTTCTCTTAAATTGTATTGAACAGCATAACACAGAGAGAAGTGATGCTTCATCTTGCTGTGCTACAGTGTTATCTCATTATAAAAGCAAAATTCGGTGAAGTTAAGTGTTGCTAGTTCAGGTGTAAGAATTCCACAGTCATTTTCAGTCAAATGATAAAATATTAACAGAAAACTGGAAAATAAATGTAAAAACTAGAAATTGTATCCAACTAGAAAACACCTTATTTCTCTCACTGTTCTTTGTAGTTATATATCCACGGATTGTTCCCTTGCTGGCAGCTTGATAGTGAAACTTGAGGCTGAATGGGATGTAGAACCTGTGAGTTCAGTTGAGGACTCCCAAGTTGAATTCACTTTTTGCCTTAGTATAGCCATGTAGAAAAGCTTTGCTGCTACAGAGTCTTGAATCTTTGAGTCCTTCATATGACATCAATATCAATTATTTTCAGCTAGCTTTTTAAACTGCATCTGAAATGAAAGGTAGAATTCAAAATGTATGAATTGTGTACTGATGAGGTAGACTTTTAACTTCGTTTTAAAGGATTGCAGGCCTCTTCAAGCAAAATGGTGTCACCAGAGAGCAGCAGTAGTCAGAAGCGTCCAGGTGAACCTGGAAAGAATGGAACCAAACCTCGAAAAAGAAAATGTTTTTGGTAAGCATTATGCCTTGGTTTTATACTCAAGTATTAAGCCTTGAACAGGATGAAAGGTTAGATACATACGAGTGAGCAATGTCTTATCTGAGATGTCGACCTCAATAGGAATAGGAAAATTGAACTGATTAAATTGGAGAACTCGAAGTAAATGTTGCTGTGTTCATATAATTGTGTCCCAGCTGGAGCAGGCAAACTTTATTTGAAATAAACCCTTTTCATATGGTTATGTTCTACTACTTCCCGTGGTCCTTTTTTCATTAATGAATTAAACTTACAATGAATTGAAAAAAGATTTTTTTAATTTTTCTTTCCAGGTCTCTTTCACCTAATGTAACATGCAAGGGAAATCTTAATGATTCCAGTGTTTCAAGTAGCAATAGGTAGCACACATTTCTGTACTGAGAATGCTGTAAAAAAATACCTGGTTTTTTGAGTACGTTGGGTCCTGTTTGGTGTTAGCAGCTCTTCCATTTACTAAACTATCGTAACTGGAGTAATTCACAATATCTCTCTGAAGTGAGGTTTGGAAAGAGAAATGTGACAATAAAAAGAATTACTTTGTTTTAAAGAAAAAGGTTCAAATAGATGAATATTAATGTGTAACACATTGCTTGTGCCAGGCTGGGGTTGGAAGGACTGGATGATTGTGACAGTTCGGATTCAGAGGATGACAGTGAAGATGATTCCCCTCATGCATCTCATGGAAGTTGTCCATCAGGCAGCAGATGTAATGAAAATGCTGGAAATTCAAAAGCATGTTCAAGCAGCTCTGTGGAGCCAGTAGAGGATAGTCCAGCTACTGGTGCAACTGAGACACCACTGGAGCAGCCAGAATGTAGTGGAAGAGGTGTGCAAGGAGAGACAAGCACAAGTGGGCAACCTGAAATTCCAGCTGAAGGGAATAGTGAAATGACAAAGACCCTGACGGAAGAAGCCCAAGAAAAGAATGAAGTAGCCCAAGCTCCAAAAGAAGAGGAACAAGATAATGTTTCACCTAAGGCACAAGAAACAAACCAGTTACAGAGCACAGTAAGTATGAAGCAGTACAAAATGTGTCATGTCTTTTTCTTCAGCTGCTTTTATTCCATCACGTTTCCCTTTGTGGATTGCAGAAAAAGGGAGGGGATTTGTATCCTATGACTTCAATGCATTAGATGTATGTGCTCAAATTACAATCATAGTCTCTTTAAGAAGCTAATGGAATCTCCAGAGTTTGCTTCAGAGCACAAAAAATCCCAGAGTTAAAAGGAAAAACAGCTTAACTGGAGATGCATCCTACAAATTAGGACAATGGAATGTAGGAAGTTAATGGAAACTGCAGCCAAAGATTGCTCTTCATTCACTGTGTCTCTGTGGAGGAGGTTGAATTAGAGGATTGTCTTGAGAGATGCTAAGTAGGATGGGCCAAGAACGAATGTTATAAGATTAAGATTTTAATAGTCTGTAGAGTTCCTACTAAGATGCAGTTGCCCTTGGCTGTCTAGTATTGTCTTTCCTTAGAGCCATGTTTCTCTTGGGGGTGTTTTGGTTTTGTTTTTTCTCCTTCTACATAAATAGTTACACTCTGGATCCAAAATTCTTCATAAGAGGAAAAAGGAAAATAAACTCCTTCTGTAGAATGAAAGACTCTTATAAATACTTTTTGCACATTACCACTGTCCAATTTGGCTAATCTTACTTATAATTTGACCATAATGTTTATAATCAACCTTAGTGTTTAAATTAGAATGTTCTAAGTAGATGTCCCCTAAACCAGTTGGCTGATGAGTCTTTCTTAGTTCTCAGTATAAAAAGACTCGAGTCTAGTTCATAGAGAACCCCGGTGTTCTTGTGCAAACTTCAGTTCTTTGTTGACTGTTGAAACCCTGGAAGCAGCAGCTCTTTCACTAGAGAGACAGGATTAGTGTAAATGATGGGCTTCATCTGAACTCCAGAGGGTGGTGGAAGAGTGGTTTGAAAAGTGATCATCTGCCATATCCGTGGAGGCAGCAGGTCTGCACTGTTGCCCCGCCATTATTGCACTGGCAGTCATAGCCCTCAGCTGCATCAGGGGCAGGGCTGACCTGGTGATGGGCAGGAGGATGGCTGGGATTCTTTTGCTGAAGAGGCTTTGGTCTTCCAGCCAAGAGAGACTGTGGCTTTTCACACTGAATTGATAAAAGCCCAACTAATACTTGGCAGTAAAAGATGTCCATGCTTTGTTGCTCCTTGTATGATACTACTATTAAACATTTTTAGGGGTAGTGAATCTAGGCTTATTCTAGCAGTAAAACAAAATATGGCTTCATTTTTTCGGGCTAAGGAGTTGCTTGGATTTAAGCCTACCATCAGCTACCATTGCCAATGACTGAATTCTGGTAAGTGGAAGTTTAATACAGTTAAATAGAAAACCAACCAAGGATGTAATGAGATAAATTAGAACTTTGTCATCTACTGTACCTATTAGAGCTGGCAAATTTTGAACAGGATGTTTACCATTCTTCGCTGTTTACCTTTTGCTCAGTATTTGTGAGACTCTATTCCTAGAACAGGAAACTCCACCAATGCTGTGGCAGATTGTTCTTGCAGATGGAAATACTTTTATAATAGCCCTTGATGGATATTTTTTTTCCAAGTAGGATGAGAATAACGAGGCAACCAGTCTCTTTTTGTATGCTTAGCAGGACAAAGGTTCTAATTCTGCTAGGGCTAATTGTTTTTGCGGCGTGCATAATGGAGTGGTCCCATTCCCACTGCTGGCATTACATGCTCTGAGGTCTCTTTGATAACTCCATCATGATACATGCCATAAGACTAAGACATGCTTTTAAGCATCTAATGAAATAGGCATAGATTTTTGTGTCTTCTTTAGCTTGTTCATGCTAATGTTTTCCAACATTAGAATTATCCAGTCTTTGTCCATATTCTTTTGTGTACAAGGCCCTGAGCTTGGACTAGGCAATCTGCAGCGGTCCCTTTCACCCTTGATTATTCTGCAAATATGCTAGTTGCCTTTTAAGATGTAATTTTAATCCATTTTCTTCTGGCAGGATGAGATGTGAAGTTCAGAACTTGCTTTTTGATTAATCTTGTTAGAAAGAGGGTGGTTTTGTGTGTATTTCTTTAATTACAGTGTAACTGCGTTAGAAATAACTGTTCATCCTCCTTTCTGCTCCTGCGGGGGTATATTGGTTGTATTCACTGTTGGGCACAGAAGGGGCTGTTGGCTTTGCCATGCCTCTGGAAGCCAAGAGGAAGATACTGCAGTGGTAGGTGAGATGGTGGTCTGGTTTTAATTCAGCTTTTTGGGGAGTACTTCTGTGGGTCTCACAGTTACTTACTGCTGGCTAGCTTCAGTTTGCTTGTATGTGATGCAGTAATACTTTGCCTGGGTAGCATAAGTACCTCTAATAATATGCAACATGATACACATTGAGACGTTGCTCAACTTAAGTAATTAGGAGATTGAGACAATGCTAATTGAAGGTCTTCTGTAAAATGAAGCATTCTGTCTATGCTCATGCTTCCCCCTACCAATCAGGAAGACAATAATAATAGTCTGATGGGATGTTTTTCTTTTTGCAGGAGGTGGAACCGATAGACCTGATGGTGTTCAACTCTGCTGCTGAAATGGAAGCCCTGGGTTTAGACAAACTGAAGATGGAATTGATGTCTTTAGGACTGAAATGTGGAGGCACTTTAAAGGAAAGAGCAGCAAGGCTGTTTTCAGTGCGAGGTCTGTCTAGAGACCAGATCGATCCTGCCTTATTTGCAAAGCCCTCCAAAGGCAAAAAAAAGTGATTTTTCAACTTTGTATCCGTGTGCTTTTAGATTTTTCTTACTCTGTTGTTATTCCATATGGCCACATGTAATTCTTTGGCATCCCTGGGTAGGTTTTGTTTCTATTCTTAATGAAGTTTGAGTAACGTAACACAGAGTGAGTTGCTAGATACGAGTTAATTATGCATTCAATGTGTTCAATATTAAAGGAGTGAAGCTTCTGTCTTTTGATCAGCTTTGCAAATGGTTGTAACAAGTCTTAATTGCAACAGGTAAAACAAACTCTCTGTATATGGACAGAAATAGCCTGAATGTTTTCTGGAAAATGGCTGTATGGCACTGTCATCGCCTATTTTAAGAAAAATAGCAATCCTTTGTGAGCTTTATATTGAATCACCTTTAATGTGAATTCCAGTTAGCACAGAGAGAACTGTCAAATGAGAAACATTGAACTTGGGATCTAGGCTTAGAAGCTGAAGTTTCCTTGAATAAAAAACACTTTTATATGGATGAGGTCAGTATAAATAACTGTGCTTGTCTGTGGGATGTCAGATATGATGTAAATCATTAATGTGTGTAAGTATTCCTTTTAGAAGAAGTTAAATAAGGGTATTTACTTATTTTGCTCTGGAAAAGTATCTGAATGAGGGAAGAGAGAATCACATCCTTAAGAAATTAAAAAGAGTAGGATAGAGAGTGATCATCTGAACCTGAATGGGAAATTCAGGATGTGTTTTTCAATTCTTTTCCTATGTGAAAACCAGTGGAAGGACTTAAAGCACCACCACTGCAGTCATTTGTCCTACCTGGAGCAGTATCTGACACCCCCACCCTCCCCCAGCGCTGAGAGCCTCCAGTGCAGTGGTGAGGGCCCCTTGTGGGTGCAGCTGCCACAGCTCTGGTTTGAGAAGCTTTGAAAAGTGTTTAGTTCAGTGTCTCAGATCTCACATTTACCACCATATGCTGGAGAATGTTGTGCTTATGATCTGCTATCAGATGGTCTTGTAGAGATGCTTGCAAAATTAAATGTTCTCTCTCCTGTTCTGATGTCACACCATCCGTTTGGCTCATCACGTTTTGATTGCAGTGCTGGCAGGAAGTGGGCTTCAAATGCTGGGAAATCAGTTCACTCCTCTAGTACTGGATGTTTCTGACACTAGCAGTTTGATGCTTCAGTCAGTTTTGCAGTCTTACAGCCTCTCCTCAGAAGCTGTTTTGTTGATTTGTGGAAGTTTTGGATTGAGAGAGGGTGGTAAAGCTCAAGGATTTATTCCTGATGAACTCCACATGCAAGCTGCTAAACAGGGGTGTTGGGGCAGCTGCTCCGAAATGCTGGTTAACCTGATAGTTCACCCTTCCTGCACCAACATGGCTTCCCAGGCAGGCTGTGTTGGAATGACGTTGGAAGGCTCAGTGCCCTGCAGGTTTGTGTGTGGTACCATCGCAGAATGGTTTGTGTTGGAAGGGACC